ATTTGGAGCGTTAGATAAAACGTAAAAACAGACCGGGGAGTTTAGCTACACAGCCGTCCTCGGCGCCATCTTCCCACACCTACAGTATTCCTTGATCCAATTCAAAAGTTTCCAGACCTGGGACCATTTTCCAGCTTCACTGGACACTGTTCTCCTATTGATACAGCCTAGAATCACATTGACTTTTTTGGCTGTTGACTCATGTTCAGTTCGTAGTCTACTAAAACTCCAAAATCGCTTTCACATAGAATTGTTCTCAAGACAAGCGTCCCCACCTTATATCTGTGCATTTCATTTTTTTCTGCCAAAGAGGAGTTATTGGAGTTATGCCATTGAGTGGACCAATCATATCTGATGGAAACAGGTTTGATTTATTCGATCTGCTGCAAGACCTTCTCCAAAGTTTCTAGATCTCCTGAAGATGTAGGAAAGTGTGGCCAAGAAACAGCCTTGTGCTGAGTCTTTTGGGGGCCGTAGAAACCTTTATTTCTTTCAAGCCTTGAGAAAGGCATTATTGGGGTGGAGGAGGGTGCTTGGAACATGAAGCACAAGTTCAGGAGGATGGGGTTTGGAATATCGAATGTACCTTGGTTGCATGTGATCTGGCCACTGAATCTTGGGTTTGCATGCTCACTTCAGAAAGGAACTGATCAAGGTGCTGAAGGCCAGTCTCCAAGGAGGCTTGATCTCCTCTACCTCGCTTTCTTTTTCCTCCTTTGCTTTGGAACTTGAATGCAATTGGGACAAAACTGCCCATCCCTTTCTGTAAATAAAGAGCCTTAATGCGTAAGGCATATACGCATTAATGCGTAAGGCATATACGCTGTTTAACATCTACATGAAGCCGCTGGGCGAGATCATCCGGAGTTTCGGAGTGAGATGTCATCTGTACGCAGATGATGTCCAGCTCTGTCACTCCTTTCCACCTGCTACTAAGGAGGCTGTCGAGGTCCTGAACCGGTGCTTGGCCGCTGTGACGGTCTGGATGGGGGCGAACAAATTGAAATTGAATCCAGACAAGACAGAGGTACTCCTGGTCAGTCGTAAGACCGAACAGGGTATAGGATTACAGCCTGTGTTGGATGGGGTCGCACTCCCCCTGAAGACACAGGTTCGCAGTTTGGGTGTGATCCTGGACTCATCGCTGAGCCTGGAACCCCAGGTTTCGGCGGTGACCAGGGGAGCTTTTGCACAATTAAAGCTTGTGCGCCAACTGCGACCGTACCTTGGGAAGTCTGACTTAGCCACGGTAGTCCACGCTCTGGTTACATTCCGCCTTGATTACTGCAACGCTCTCTACGTGGGGTTGCCTTTGAAGACAGCCCGGAAGCTCCAACTAGTCCAACGGGCGGCAGCCATGGTACTAACAGGAGCGGGGCGCTGGGAGCACACAACTCCTCTGCTGCACCAGCTCCACTGGCTGCCGATATGCTACCGGGCTCAATTCAAAGTGCTGGCGTTGGCCTTTAAAGACCTAAACGGTTCTGGCCCAACTTATCTATCCGAACGTATCTCAGCCTATCAGCCCACCAGGACCCTAAGATCTTCTGGAGAGTCCCTGCTCTCTATCCCACCGGCTTCCCAAGTGCGGCTGGTGGGAACGAGAGACAGGGCCTTTTCTGTGGTGGCCCCTCGGCTTTGGAACACCCTCCCTATAGAGATACGATCAGCCTCTTCGCTGATGGTGTTTCGGAAGAGATTAAAAACATGGTTGTGTAAACAAGCATTCGGTTAGTTTGTTATCACCGAATTTTATGGACTAAGGACTGGTTAATTATGGATGACGAATTCTGGACTGTGATTTTAGTGACGAGATACATGGTATTATTATTGGTGGCCCAATAATTTGTATTGTCTATGTGTTGTTGTTTTAAATTGTATATTGTTTTTAATTGTTGTAAACCGCAATGAGTCGCCGACTTAGGCTGAGATATTAGCGGTATACAAGTGTATTAAATAAATAATAAATAAATAAATTAACCCATTGCTCCATCAGGGGCTCCACAAAATGTGTGGTGAAGTGGTAAGATATCCAAATTCTGGAATTTCAGGTTTACACAATGAACTGGAATTTGATCCAAAAAGAAGCCCTTCTGCTCTCAGAATTCAGTGTTCAAAAAACTAGATTTAAAAACCAAATGTTGAAGTTTTGAGTTGAGTTTTTTAAATGTAAATTTGAGCTTCTTGTGTGCCACTTCTGTCATCGTCAGGTTGTTGGTGGAGGTAATTAGACGTGGGAGATCTGGAAGCCAGTGCGTCATTTGCTGTACAATTTGCAGATATTACACTGAGGTCTAACTAACACCTCTGCAGATCCACCCCTTCCATGTGTCACCTCTCTGGTTTTGAAATAAGATGCATATGAAGGGAAGACCCTTCTGAAAACAAATTCATGAAAAAGCTTTGATATGTGTGTCTGTTTGTTTTTATTTTCTAGGAAAACGGATTCCTGATGGGAATAAAGGAGAGTGACTGGATGTCAAACCAGAATATGTTGCAAAAAGGCATTTTTTCCCCCGGCACAATCAAATCTCTCTCCTCGGCATAATCTCAGAAGTTGATGCAGAAGCAGAAGGAAGAGTTCAATAGATACTTCTCAACAGCTCAATAACAATACGTTCCAAATACTGGTTTTCTAACGTTCCTTATTAACACTCTTCTTCCTCACTCATATACCCTCTTGTAAATACACATGATACTATGTACATTGCAGCATTTCTGGTGTATGTGCCTTTAAATGTTTTGGATGTTCCTTATACTAGACATCAACAACTATCAGACCTTTAGCCAAATTCAGAATGTCTCTAGCACCAATTTACTTTGATATCCCTGCATTGCCATCTATAGAGCAAGGTTTCTAGTTTGCTTGATAGTATGCTGTCCTTGACATAATGCAGAGCTTTCCAAACTTTTCATGTTGGTGACACGCTTCTTTGACATGCACCCTTTCATGATATGATAATTCCGTTTTACGAGCAAGACAGAGGTTTAACCAACTCCTTATAAGACTTTTGGAAATCTTTCCTTTACACTTCTTATGTACTACAGTTGTTTCTTGTGCAATTTCCTCTATAGCCGACCCATGTTGTTCATTACAAACATCATTGTCAACAGATTTTCTTTTCTTAATTAGAAACGTATCCATTTTAATGGTCATGCCCACAACTCAACCAACAAATTGTGCGTATTATAAAAGTTATAACAGTACACTTGAAGAGCACCAACACTCCACATCTGTAGTGATATTCAACCTCATTATACGAGGCTAAAATCAGCGGCATATGCCAATCTAGCCCCAGTCACCCATGGAGCCAGACGGCTCCCGTCAGACAAAATTGTGCTGGTTCCCTGCAAAATGTGGACATCACACTAAACTCCTGGAATGATTCCATCAGCGCTGCCTCCGAAAACTCCTGAAAATCTCTTGGGAAGACAGGCAAACAAATGTCAGTGTGCTGGAAGAAGCAAAGACCACGAGCAATGAAGCGATGGTCCTCCGCCATCAACTCCGCTGGACTAAAAACGTCCGAATGCCCGATCACCATCTCCCAAAGCAGTTACCGTACTCTACTCCAAACTCAGAAATGGGAAACAGATTTCTGGTGGACAAGAAAAGAGATTTAAAAATGGGCTTAAAGCCAACCTCAAAAACTGTGGCATAGAGACTGAGAACTGGGAAGCCCTGGCCCTTGAGTGCTCTAACTGGAGGTCAGCTGTGTCCAGCAGTGCTGCAGAATTTAAAGAGGCACGAATAGAGGGCGAAAGGGAGGATTGTTCCAAGAGGAAAGCGCATCAAGCCAACCCTGACCGGAACCACCTTCCATCTAGAAACCGATATCCTCACTGCGGGAGAACACGCGGATCAAGAATAGGGCTCCACAGCCACCTATGGACCCACTGCCAAGACACCACATCTTGAGGACTATCATCCTCGAGCCTAAGTAAGTAAAGTTCCATGGGTGAAGGAGGGTGTAACCGGCCACCGCAGCAACACAGAGGCTTCCCATGTTGCCATTAAATCTGGGGGGGGGGGGAAGCCGCACGCTCCACGTGTGCTAACTCTCCCCCATGTGATTGCTCTCCCATTGATCCAGACAATGCAAGGTGTGGGGCACAGGATTCCCCACACCTCAAGGCAAAGCAGAACTCCACCGCCTCCTGCCACGGGCTGTCTGATGAATAGTAAATCTCCCTGGAGGTTTCATCCTCCAGGGGCTGCCAACATCCTCCATCCAGCTGTGATACATTAGTGTGCTGCCTATTGTCCTTAGACGTGTTGCATGAAAAATGCTCCCCATTCCTGACCCTTTGTTTGTAGGGTCAGGAATGGGGAGCATTTTTCCTGCAACACGTCTAAAGACAATGGGCAGCACACTAATGTATCTCGATACACAGTTTGGAAAGCTCTGACATAAAAAGTAATGTTGTTTGTATCCAGAGATGACTATGTCCCAATTTCTCTCCATTCCAAAAAATGTCTGTTATGACCACTATATCCGTGTTTTATCTTAGAACCAAACCAAATTTTCCACTGAAACTATACAACTTCAAATATCTACTTATAAACTGTATTCCTTTGTGATGTCTGTGGAGTGTGCCTTTATGCTTAGGCCCTAAGACCTCTTGGCTGTCATGTTCTACTACAGTATCCTCACAATCTGTCCCTTTGGGCCAATGGAAACATTTTCACTTCCACCCCAAAGGGATGATTCAATCCCAACTTAACACTTCCTAGCTCCTCTTGGCGTTTTCTTTGGAACACAGTATCTTCCGCTGTTCTTCCTGACCAATATGGTCAAGTTGATCATGAGTTTCAGCGAGGCATCCAAAGGGGAAAAATACTATTTTTGAGAAGGTGACTTAAACTAACATAACAAAGTGGTAGCATTTCTAGATACCTTAATGACTTTGCCCTGGAATAACTGATCATAGAAATGATCAGAAAGCTGACTCCCGATTCAGTCCTAAGTGGTATATTTCAGAAATGGATATGATACCAGAGTATTGTGGGCCCTTGGAATTTGGTCACATTTCCAGATTAAATCAGGAGAGCCATAGATAAATTCATGAAGGGAGGTTAGAGCCATCAATGGCTACTTATCAGAACGGTGATAGGTTGTCTCCAATATCACTGTCCCCAGCAATTAATATATGTCCTCTTGCTGTATACATCAGTCTAAGGCTGTGTCCACACTGCCATATAATCCAATTCAAAGCAGATAATCTGGATTCAGAAACCAGTAAACATCTTTACTGATGTCAGTAAAGATGGGGCCACGGCCAAGATGCAGTTGCTGGTGCGTTTTTTTGGTGGCCACTGTATGAAACAGGTGCTGACTTCAATAGCTCCTTGGTTTGATCCATCAGGACTCTTTTGATGTTCTTACATTTCTAACTTTGTACACAAAGTGAAAGATAATATCAGGGAATTGGAATTGTTTATATAAGTCCTTCTTATCACCTTATCTATAGGCTTAACATCTAAAATAAATACATTGTGGAAAGTTTGGGCTCAAACGTGATTTTTTCCCAACCATTTTGGAAAACAAAGGTTTCTGCTTTGTATTTTCTTACAGCGAACAGAGGCACTTTGTGTCATAAAGCGTGAACACATATACTTCCGTTAACCAAGTACATGTGTCCCTGGGCATTATTTTTTTAACAGAAACCTCAGTATCAGAGGTGGGTGGAGCCCCCGGTCGCACAGTGGGTTAAACCCTTGTGTCAGCAGGACTGAAGACTGAAAGGTCGGAGATTCGAACTGAGGGAGAGCACAGATGAGCTCCCTCTATTAGATCCAGCTCCCCTTGCAGGGACATTAGAGAAACCTCCCATAAGAATGGTAAAACATCAAAAAAAAATCTGTCTGTCCCTTGGGCAACGTCCTTGCAGATAGCCAATTCTCTTACACCAGAAGTGACTTGCAGTTTCTCAAGTTGTTCCTGACACGACCAAAAAAAACCAACAACAAAACAACAAAGGCAGAAATAACATGGAAAGACTGGGGATGGTTTCCTACACCACAAAAGAAGAGCCGTTCAACATGTTTCAGCATCACTTTTATTTAAAACTAACAATATGTGTATGTGAAAGGTCAAATGAACCTAGGATAAGTCAATAAAACATTATGAAGCTGATAGAGACCATTTTGATGGCCAAACCTTGTTTTATGCTTGTTCAACATGTTGGACTGGTAAGGCAGGCATATCGATTCATTCCTTTTCTCTCCACTTCATTGTTCACACATGATTAGAAAGAGATTATGAGAGCCACTGCTTTTTACCTTGCCTGCTGTACATAAGCACACACAGCTACAGTAGGCTTGGCTAGAGTTGAACACCATTCTTCCCCAATTAAACTTTACTGGATTGTTTGCTGCACAATGCAACAAACTGATACTGAAAGTCTGTGTTTTCCCAGCCTTCCTTCACCATCCTGTCAATACTAATGCTGATAAAACGCTTCCAACGATGCAAAAGATGAGAAAGAAAGGGGTAGCTGTAAAAAGGAGTTTCTTTGTCAGAGGATTTGTTAACAGAGCTATGCCTGTACATAAGGGGAAAATCTATGTAGGAATTAATATGTATCTCTGGTATGTAGTTTCATGTAAACTTCACTAGTGTGTGCAACTATGTGAAAAGCAGCAACTGGCCCTCATTTCCTGGTGTGCAACTTTACAGTTTTGATCAGCAAAATACAGCAGCAAAGGATTTTACGCACAGTTGTCTATGTACAAATTTCATGTTAAATACTCTTAATAGAGGGGGATTTGTTTGTAGCAAATAAAGTCATCTTGTGACTTGTTTCAAGTTTGATTTTAACCATTTCTCTGAATGTTATGCTGACCCAAATTGGATAACCTGGCAGCACAGGGTGCATACAATTCTGTTGAATCAGCTCCACTGGCTGTATTTTTTGCTACCGAGCACAATTCAAAGTGCTGGCCTTAGCCTATAAATCCCTAAACGGTTCCGGTCCAGTTTACCTATCCAAATGTACCTTCCTCTGAGCCAGTCAGAGCATTAAAATGAGCTGTGGAGGTCCTGCTCTTGGTCCTACCACCTTCGCAGGTACAACTGGTGGGGACAAGAGACAGGGCCTTCTCAGTGGTGGCTCCTCAGCCGTGGAAATTCCCCCCCCCCCAGCGAGATCAGATTGGTCCCCACCCTCTTGGCCTTCAGGAAATTACTCAAAGTGTGGCTTTAAAAGAGTGAGATGAAGCAACCAAGATGACTTGGGATTGACGCAATGTTCAATGCTTTATGTTATGTTGTTTATGCTTGATGTTTTATATTTCTCTGATTTTAATATATTATTATATGCTATTTTGATTATGTGTTGTGTTTTATACTCTGTGAGGAATTGAATTTTGCCATTTTGTATTGTCGTGAACTGCTTTGAGTCCCCCTTGGGGTAGAGAAAAGCTATATATATATATATGAAATAAATGAAATAAATAAAAACTTATAGTTGTTGGACCACATAAACAGCACATGCCGACTTTATCACCTGCTCCCTAACTTTGGTAAACTATCAATTTTTTTAAAAATAAGGTAAGCCCTTCTGAACTTAATTGCCCTTTATTACTAACCCCTGAGCACAACCAGAAGTATTGTGGGCCTTGCCTTATATGCCTGTTTGCCTGCCTCTGGCTGGCAGCATTACAAAGAGTTAATGAGGTGTAAGTGTTCGGATGACGCTGGCCTTTATTGTCAAGGTAGTGAAACTGGAAAGGTGAGGCAGGATTCGGGAAGGGGAACGCCTTAGCCTAGTCACCAGAAAGCCAGGCACCAGAGGAAGAAACTGAAGCTGAAAGAGATACACGGGCAACAAGACGGGCGCATGATAGATGTATTTTTGGCTCCAATGTCACTTTAATCAGGTAAGGCTCAGGTGGGCGAGGAACCACTTTCTAATGTTTGGCTTAATGAGGTTTATTTGTATTGTGTGTCATTCCTATAGCTAGGACAAAATGTGCAAGTTGTGGACATTGCCGACAAATCATTCATTCACAAGTAATGCTTGTACTCCATTTGTCTCAATGGGGACTCTCAAGATGTTGTGAGCTATACCTCCCATCAGACACTTAAATTGGGAGGAGGATGTTTTCGGGGTGGAGAGGGTAGTGTTTCTGTGTACTTTTTGTTAAGAATCTATATGTAAAAAACATAAAGAGCTGAATTACAAGATAATTGTTTTTGCTTGGACTGGGGAGAAAGGAGGATATATGTCAATGTGAACCAACGACAACAACGGGCACTTTGGCACACTTTCTCCAGATCAGACACTTACAAATAAAAGCTGCATTCGCTCAATTAATAGTAATGGTAAAAGAATAGCAATCTTTATTGTTGTTGTTTGTTAAGGATCACTGTAGGGTGGAACCAATCAAAGATTCTCCTATCCCAAGTGATTGCTATTGCTAAACAATTGGACAAAGCCTTGATACTTTCAACACCCCCACAGACACACACTGATCTTGACCGAGATTATTGTCTCTAGCACTGTTGGAATTGCAGACTCTCCCTTCATACCACTGAATTGAACATGCAAATGTCTACATGTAAATATATACAACAGAAATGTGTAAAATCATTCCTCACCCATTAATTTTTTCTTGCTTTCCTGGAAAAGCCATCTGGGGAAGGGGAACAGACTAAGCAGGAAAGATTAACTGGGTTGTTGTCGGGTTTTTTCGGGCTATATAGCCATGTTCTAGAGGCATTCTCTTCTGAAGTTTCGCCTGCATCTATGGTCCTCTGAGGATGCTTGCCATAGATGCAGGCGAAACATCAGGAGAGAATGCCTCTAGAACATGGCCATATAGCCCAAAAAAACCTACAACAACCCAGTGATTCTGGCCATGAGAGCCTTCGACAATACAAGGAAAGATTTAGGTGGGGAAAGAGTTAAACTACTCTTCCCTGCTACATTTTGAATTGAAATCACCTCCCAAGGCAGATGTCTCCCACATGCAGCAATCGTTACATTCATTCATGTGTAATTAGTAGTTCGACCATTAAATTCAGTTGTAAAATGTGCACATTGCCTAGCAATTGTGTTTAAAAAGCTGATAAAAAGCAAAACAGAGAAATGTTGCTGGAAGAGTTGTGTTGAGCATGGGACTTGGGGTGGCACGCAGAAAAGCACTTTGGAGTTCTAGTGTTTCTTGCTTTTCTTGACTATTGCATTGTCTGTCTGCTTGTTTCTTCTTATCACACAGAGATCTTACATAAT